ACTAGAGAGAGTTTAGATCTATTGTTACTAAATTATATAAAATATATTATTTCATAGAACAGAAAGTTGTTTAAATTCACAAGAGCCCAACACAGCGTCCCCAATCACTAGTGCTCTAGTGTGGGATTTCTGTCTATGCCTCCTTCTGTCCGTTGCTTACAATTAACAAAACCATGGGTTCAGGAAATAAAAAACTTGTTATTTGCATACATGCCGGAACGGTAAATAGTTATTGTGAGCCGTGGTTGATCTAAAAACATGCTCTACGGCGCCAAGAGAAACCGAGACGTACCCCATATACAACGGCCAAGTAAAGTCAAAATGTTTCAGAACTATATAAATTTAATAATTTCTTTTCGGTGTACAAAACGTTCATTGTAAGAAAAAATATAAGAATATAATTTTACTTATGTTAAGTTAATGTGTTTGTCCAAGTCCTTGGGTTCTATATAATGTAAAAGAGTCGTACACATGCTCCAGCTCTGACAATCGGTACTCTTCCAAGCAAACAATGCCTTGTAATGATGGTGATAGTTTCAACACACATGGTAAACAATGGACCACATGTCTTTTCTCTTGCTCTCTTATAAATAAAACGTTAAATACTTCAACCTAAAAAGAACGAACATATTTTTTTATTTACATTTATAATCATTTATATTTATGGTAAACTAAACATTGTTATTAGACAAGAGTATATTTTTTTTAATAGTAATTATTTTCAAAGCGGACATACAATTTGCGAATTATTGAGATTTTAGACTTGGAAATCCCTGTAGATCTCAAAAAATTTCGGTCAGTTTTAAAGCCCAGGAAAAACGATCCGTTATAAATCTGCTTCATTATTTTTTAAACATTCCTCGATTATTTCTACTGTTTACTTACTCTATTATTTAAAGAATATTAATCAAGAAACTTACTTCGCATTGTCCGCAATAGTGTGACGCTTCGTTTTTTCCACGCCCATTAAATCGTATTTCAACGCCTTTAGACTTCACAAATTCTTGTATGTGAAAAACGTTTTTTAAAGATTGACACAAGCACATTCTACAAATAAAATGTTACATTTATATAAACATATTAAATACATATTAACGCATATTCAACAGTTAAGATTTTCAAAAATTTTCTTTCATAGTATTTGAAGGGAACTTGGCACTTATACTTTTCACCAGACAGATTTTAAATACACTTATACATTTATAATAATGAAAGCAAAATGTTGAAAGAGTAACATTACTTTAATAGATTCAAGATACATAGGAAGTAAATATGAGCAATAGATATTGAGCTTTTTTTTTGTCTTTTTTTTTTTTTTGTAAATTGCTACCCTTCAAAGAAAAACCATTTTTATGAATCTATAATAACTAACCTCTAAGATATATCTAAAATTAATTGGAGTATAAATTTGCAAGCGTACTTACTTTATTAACTCAAAGAGTTTGACATCTGAAACTTTAATATTTCTTGCTAAGTTCCAGCTTAAATGCACCATAGGTACAATACTTTTAAAACTTTGAAGTTTGTTCCACTCATAACGCTCAATGGCAAGAGAATACTGTCGTGCAGTTAGTGGTCCTACATTCCATGCTATATTATTACACCATCCTACAGACTGTACCCAGTGAACGCAACTGAAATTATAGGTAATTAAATTTTTTAGTATAAATGTTCACATAAATAATTATTCCCTTCTTTTCTGCTTACATAAGAAACATATGTAAGCACATACACACGCACAGGCATGCGCGCTGCAGTGTATGGAAAAAAAGCCCGAAATTTAGGCATCACCTCTAAAAATAGAGCTATGAGGTTCAAATTTTACATACACCTAAAATAGACTAAGTTAGAATTTCGATATTTTTTTTTTTTACGATTAGACCACGCCTTGATACTTTCCCGCCCTTGATACTTAATAATTTAATCATGAGTGCTTTAGACATCATTTTTACTAATATTTAACATAAAGCTTACAGCACATATTTTTAGATAAAAATTATTAGATTAACTGCTAATATAATACAAAAATGTAAAAGTGTAAAATCCAGTTTTAGACTGGTAAAAATTGTTTTTTTTTTTTCTTTTTTTTTACCTATAACATATTTCGAAAATTAACATCAATACTCTTATTATTTTTCATTTAAGTGGATCAGACAAGTCTAATACCCTCTGAAAAACATCCGTCATGTTGTTTAATCTGATAATCTTTCGAAGATGTAAACTTTGTTAACTTATATCAATTTTGTTCCGAACTTCTGAAGCGCTTTCTTTAACAATACTTGCAGCTATCCATTAACTGGTATCCATGTATCAAAGCTATCTGCACAGTTGGGATACGGGCTATGAAGCATAGTTAGTTATGCATGTATATTTCAATATATAAGGCTCAGAGGAGATAGCAAATAATGTGTTCTACTTGTCTTGCAAGATCAGAAGCAAATTTATCTTTACCTGAGTGCCAGCTTCTTCATAATTAGCTCCCTTATGGAGAATTTTATTTCGCGAGGAGTTCGGCTCTTTAAAGTTTCTCAATACTTTACCCGTTCATGAATTTTTTTTGTATTTTATAGATTCCGGTTATTGGTTATATTTATTATTATTATTGGCAAATATTTTGAATATAATAAATAATAATAAATAATGTTTTCCACACATTCGTCCGTATTGTTATTCATTTTCTCAACGATAGCCAATTTTTTTTAGCTCTACTTGACGATTTTTGCTTGCTCATATTTTACTAGAAAATTGTAATTTTTTCGAAATGGAGCAAAATGGGGCAAGTGTCTAATGATAGAGGCATCAGACAACCTAAAATACACGACAGCAAAAAAAGTACTTCAAAATTAAGAATGTTTTTTCATTTTGAAAGTTTACAGTTTTATTATTATTTACCGCGGCATTAGACTTGACAGAGCATACAGAGCATCTTTGGGTCAGCTGACTTCCAACCCTACGTTATATAGTAGGGACAGTCCTTAGAATTTTTGATAAATACTTTTTACCTTAGTTAAGATGTTATTTATTAAAAAATAAAAAAAATAAAACAAGTAAGAACGTTGCAGTCGGGCGCTACCGACTGCGGAATACTC